AGCCTCTCTACCCTTCGGGGTAGGGGTAAGGTCTGCGTACATATTACCCTCCACAGACCCCACGTGTGGGATTATACTGGGTTGTTGTTGTTGTTGTAGATTCAGCTTGATATTAAATTATTATACAAATGTCCTTTTGTTCATAAACAATGTTCGCACCCAGATGAGAACATGCTTCCAAAAAGGTCCAGCAAAGATTAATCAAATTCAAACCTCCCTATAGTGCTAATTGTCCTCAAAGAGCAGCCATTTGCTAATAGTTCCAAGAGATCAACCATTAAGGGAGCATGATGTGAAAAAAAGAGTCAATACTTAACAACCAGATAAAGAGAAATAGTAAAATCTAATCACAGATGCATTTCAGAAATTTTATTTGCTGTATTTCACTACGATGGCTCCTTCCCTGGATAATGGCCCTACCTCTCCGGCTCTCCGATATCAGCCATATTGTAAATAAGACACCTGTGAAGTGCAAATATGAGCAAAAGGTAGAAGGACCTGAAGAACAACTCCACTGACTTTAATATGGAAAATACTAAGGTGTAAGCTAGAAAGGAAGAAACTGCATGTGCGCCTACTATACCAGAATTGCACCCCAAATCAGATGCACTTCAGGTCTTGCTCAGCCATTGTATATGTGACACCTTAACTTTCAACCTTAAGAAAAGCAAAAAGAAAATTGTAAGACATTAAAATTGAAGTTAAAGAGCTGTGAGCTGATAAAGATTCATTTGTTTGTCACTGTCCATGGCCTATAGCTAACTTCTGTTGCTTCACTCCACATAAGTTTTTGGACTGGTCAAGTTAAAAAGAAGTAGATGTATGAGCAGCTATTCCCGAGCAAAATAATGCCACCAGAACATCTGCTTAGATAATATCTAAACCAAAGACAAGAAGACTCAAATGACTTTGCCGCAACAGGTCAATTTCCANGGGAGAGGGAACAATATATCGCCTGTAGATTATATGTACATAATGAAAAGAACATTTAAGAAATAATTTCGGAAAAGAAAGCTACTGAACTTCTCCATCCTCACCAAATTCCCACCATTTGTGGGGTAGATCCAGGCACCCGTCTCTACCTTTAACTATCTCAGTTTTATGAGTACCAACTATAGCAGCAAGGAGCTTGAAAGCATATTCAAAGGCCAAAAGTCCCAAAACACAAACCAAAGAAGAGGACAGAAAAATAATCCAACTCACTGCACCAGAGCAAGCATATTCAGTTTAACATGTTCCACAAAACAGAAACAGGACACATAATGAACATACCTGTGAGTTACAGGTCCAAACACCTAGAAGAGAAGAGTTCAAAAAAAAAAAAAAAAAAACCTTGAAAAGAGTGCTCCATGTAGTACCAGCTTGACATAATCTTGACTAAAAACCTTTTGAACAACTTGTTACATGCATAAATCTTCAGGTATCATTTACTTGAGCAAAGCACAAAAAAGCTTACAGAAAAGACACCTATTCGGCTATTCCCCAACAGAAATATTCCAGGGTGGAATATGGCCCATGATCAAAACTCCACTCTTTCTTAGTCAGAACCACCTCAGGAACTACCGCTACTAATCTTGTACACAACTATCAGCCAGCAATAGGTGCTTGGAAGCAAATTCAAAGCCAAAACACAAACCAAAAAAAATATCAAACGAATTTGCCCGATTCATTGCAATGAAAATTTATTTAATACATGAGCTAGCCAGCAGATTACATTCACGTTTCCCACAAAAAGAAAAAAGAAATAGAACTAACAGAGCTGCCTAATAGTCATTCATCAAACACCAAAAAGACAAAAGTTCCAAAAGAAACATAAACAGATAGCTCCCTGATGTACCAGATTAACAAAACCTTGTAATTAGAACCTATAACACTACTTATAACAGACACAAACTATACAGCTTTCTGCTTAAAACTCCAGACGATAGCGGCCATAATCAAGTGAAGTTGCTCCTATGTCCTCCAAGATGACAACGAGGTACATGGGTTGGCAATGGACAGAGCGATCTAGAAGGTGGGGCCCGACCAAAAGGATTACCGGTATTATCAAACTGTGGAGGCAATAGATCATAATCTCCACCAATTATATGTGGCCTCCAAGGTCCTGGGAATGGATTAGGACCCCCTAAAAATCTCAGGGGATCAACCACTCTTCTTCTGCTTATCATCTTCCTTCTCTTCCTACTCTCCCAAGACTTGACAAACTTGTCTTTCCAATGTCCCTCGTCCCCTCCTCCCGATGTGTTGGCATCACCAAACTGCTCCACATACTTCTTCTTCCACAGATCATCACTCAAAGCCAAATATCGCAATTCAGAGCTCAGACAACTCACTTTGGCTATCTCAACACCGGGTAGCAACTCCAAAATCTTCAACTTAAGGTCAGTGGGAAGTCGCATAAAGCACGGTGGAAGCTCCAAACCAGACTTGTCACACAAATCAATCAGCAATGGCAACACAAGCCCATCCTTCACGTTCCTCCAAAACTGAAACACTTCCCTCTCCGGACAAGTCCCAAAAGCCCCATTATTTACTTCCTCATGTAATCCACAGTTAGCCCACACAACATTCAAGAACGGAACCAACTGATCCTCATTCAATGTAACTCTACGTGTGGAAACACCACCAGACAATGACCCGTGAGCAATAAAAAACTTCCCTAAACAATGAAACTTCAATTCAACCCTATGATGAATAGCCGCCTCAGGCAGGGTGTAAAACAGAGTCATTCGAGAAGGTGAAGCACCCGAAGGCCAATAACATTTCCAAAACTGGGATCCACTAAGTTGAGTAAAGGAAACAGGGTCAAGGAGAACAAACCCAGATTCTACAAAAACAGCGTGAAGCGCAACCACCAACAGCTTATGGTCACGGCCGCCGTCATCGCTCAGCTCATCCGTGAACACTTTCCTCAAAAATCCAGGTACAGGAAACGACTTCGTCATATTCACATCAACTGACATGTCACTGTAATCGACCTCCATAAACTCTTCCGCTTCCTCTCCCTCAAGTATCGAATTTACGGGTTTCGTCTCAGATTCCTGGATAATTTGGGTGTCCAATTTTTTCATTGTTTCAGGTTTTTGGATAATTTGAGTGTCCAATTTGATGGGTTGAGATTTGGGGATATGGGTTTTAGTTGAAACTGAAAACCCATTTGGCTTGAAAGTGAAGAAGATAAGGTCACCGGAGGTAATACCAAAGGATTGAAGCGTCTCTTCAGAGGGTGAAAGGTCGTCCTTTCCGTTGAGAGAAAGATGAATGGAATTCGATGAAGATGAAGATGGAATTGACTGAGAGATGCGTTGTTTCAGTTCATGAAGAGTGCAAGAAGAAGACGGTATGTCGATTTTTAGGGTTTCTTTGGTTTCGAAGCATCTGATTCTGAGTTTCATGGTGGCTTTGGCTGTGGACTTGGATTTTGTTCGGAATTTATTCAAGCCGTCGGTGGATGGAAGTCGGAGGGTGTATTTGAAACAACAACAAAAACTGGGGAGGCTAATATGTACACACGTTACCCTATCCGAGGGGCAGGAGCGTATATTTGAAACTTTTCTTGAAAAATAAGTTATTTTCTTATTGAAATATTAATGATTTTGTCTTTGATTGATCAGTAGTAATTATTTTTCGCGTTTTTCCAGAATTAAATTTTTCATTGTATTAAGCGAGACCAGAATTATAAAGTTGAGACAATGGGAGACGAGTTGGCACATCTTTTTTGCCAAGCTTCCTATTTATCTATTTTCTCTTTTTTTTGGTCATTTCTCTTATTTTTCCAATTAAATAATCTATGTTTTTCATCCATTTAAAAGTAATAAATTAATTCACTATAATCTGATAACTGAAAAAACTCACCACTTACTAATATGAAAGTTAAAACGATACATCACATTAAATGCCTTTTTGTAACTCACACTACATTGATCCTTCGACTAAAATACGATTGATGATAGGCTATAATTGTGTATTTTAGTCGATTATTACACTCTAATTTACTGTATTTTAGTTGAGTTTGCGCTTTAATCGCTAGTGTTTTGCACTAACGGTGTGTTTTATGCCTTGTAGGAGTGATTTCGAGCTATATAGATGTTATGGAATGAATTCAAGGGATTTGGAGATTTGAAGTCTGAGTAAAAGCCCAAGAAATTAAGTCGGGATCGTATTCGGGGATCAACGGATGATAAAGCAACAAAACGAAGACTCGAGTAGGCATATTGCGTACTGTCTAGTAAAATGCACATCACTTTTTGCTCAGAACTCCATTTGGGCTCCACAATATATGGTTGGAAAGCTAACTCAAAGGGCTACAACTTCATGTTTTACGTTTTTTCAAATTCCAAACGGAACAGGGTGAAAAGCGCGGTCGAAACTGAGACCGCGGAGCTGAGGCGGGCTGAGGCAATATACCTGCCATATAC